TCCTCTCGTTTGTAAATTTCTTATGTTCTTATGTTCTTATGTACATACCTGTTACATAAATGTACATTGGTGTTACACTTTTTGTATCTGTGGCTACATTTTCTCTTGCCACATTGATAATTCTTGCCATAAAGAATGTAAGCTTTATTTCAAACATGTAACTGAAAGAAACATAAAAACTGAATAAAGCTTTTGTTTTGTTTATATTATCAAGCTTACATGTATTTCACTTAAAATGTATAACTAGGCTCCAGCCCCCTCAAGGCCGCTGACTAAGATAAGCTGTTAGAGGATGGATGGATGGATGGATGGATGGATGGAATGAATGTGTATAGGCTTTAGACCACTGTGAGACCCTGTTCAGCATAAGTGGTACAGAAGTAGGCAACAGACAAGGAAATCCTTGGACAGGATGCCAGTTCATCACAGGGCAAACACACAGACACTATGGACATCTTAAATTCTCCAATTCCAATAGCTGCATGTTTTTGGACTGTGCAAAGACACCAGAGAACCCTGAAAGAACCCACAGAAACACAGGGAGCTCTGTGCACCCAGTATCTGGATCTCTCCCAGCGACAGAAAACCTTCAGGTTAGACCATGATGTCAACCAGTTTGTCAGCATGGGTACTGATTGTGTCCAGTTCTCATCAGCTACCCTTTGGTCCCCTGAAACCTCTGTCAATACCCCACAGACTCTGCTCCCACATAGAATAGAATAGAATAGAATACCTTTTACTGTCATTGCACATTTGAGTACAATGAAATTCACTCTGTAGTTCCTTAAAACAGGACATTTAACATTCCACACGTACTCACCCCCCGACACATATACTCCTACCAACACAAAATATGTATGATAATTGTAAAGCTATAAAACCACTGAATTGCAGCACATGAAAAAATATGACACATTTCACAGAAATTGCATTATTTGTGCATTCCCATCATGTAAGAGAAACAAAAAAACTAAAATTAAAGATGTTATTTTGCAACATTCAGTTCAGTGATGGCTATGGGATAAAAACAGTTTGTGAACTTGAAAATGCAGGTCTTCTTCCAGAAGGAAGCAGAGAGGAGAGGTGATGGTTGGGATGGGTTGGATCCATCAGAAAGCCCTTGGCTCTCCAAATGCATCATTCTCCTCCAGTGTGGCCAGTGGAAGTCCAGTTATATTCTGGGCTGTATTTATGACTCGCTGTATGGCTCCTATCTACCGCTGAGCAGTTGGCATATCATGCTGTATGTCAGTACACTCTCTATAGAGCAGAGATAGAAAGACACAAGCAGCTCCTCAGACAGGTTTATGTTTTTAAGTGTCTTTAGAAAGTAAAGTTGCTGTTGCTAAGATGGTTAATTTATAAATACTTTGTTTGTTGTCTGTTTTATTTAATACACAATGTATACTGGGTTAAATGTATAATGGTGCCCTCTGCTGATTTTGAATGCATGGTCATGTGACTAAATTAGGCAGGGGCAAATGCACTCTGGGAGATTCATGGAGACATCGTGGGGGAGATAGATCTGTGACTGCAAAACCTGTAATAACTCCTAAATATTTGGTCAGAAGGCGTACACAGTAATTTCTATTTATTGTATTTACTTGTTTTCTTTTGTTAAAGAGTTTGTTTGGAATTGTGGCGATATATGAGCTGCTGTTTAGCGGCAACATTCTGGATCTTTTAAGGATATTTGTAAAGATTAAGTGCAATGCAGGAATTTAATAAGATGTTTACTTTGTAGTTTGAAGTCTGCCTACATTTATCGGAATTTACCTGATGTGACTTTGCAGACTGCAATCTATCTGGTCAGCGCAGAGAAATTGCGGTGGGGATTCGGTGCTGCAGTCCGGCCACAAGAGATTAGCGACATTGATATTTTCTGATATAAAGGGGACAATTAAGTTTATAGTTTGTAAGTTTTGGTATTGTGTAATCTTCAGCGTGATTGCATTTTATGTTAAAAAAAAAAAAGAGGTAATTCAGAGGTGGGTAACAAAGACTCTGACGCAGTGGCAGAGAAGGAATTGCTCCAAATTTTACTCCAGAGAGACGATGCCAGGTCAGTCTATGGGTCAACAGTATCAACAGCAGCATGGAAGTTATGTGTGAGTTAAAAGGGCAGATGTTGCAGCTCGTTTGGCAGTAAAACATGCTGAAATAAATAGGGAAAGGGAAATCTCTGCCCAGAGGAAGGAGGTGTTAGCTCAGCAAGAAAGGTTAAAATACTGGAAGATGAAAATTGAAAAGGAGCTTGAAACCATGGAAACTGAGTACAAGGTATATGCTGAAGAAGAATCAAAGCTGATTGCTGGAATAGGAAATAGCAGAGAAACAATCTCTTTGCCTCCAAATCAGCTCCCAAAACAGGGTGCCATCACTTCATGTACCCAAGCTCCTCAAAGTACCTTTATCCCTCTTTGCGCTGAAAATAAACCTATAGAGGACGAAGTCTCATTGGTTCAGGCATTGAAGGAGTCCCTGGAAATGAGCAGACTTCCAGCACCAGAGCCATTCTTATTTACAGGGGAGCCACTCAAATTCATCGAGTGGAGCACCTGCTTCAAGGCTTTATTCAAAACAAGCTGTACAAACTCAGAACACAGGCTGTTCTATCTGAGAAAATATATTGATGGAGAAGCACTTGCTGTGGTGGAAGGAACGTTTTATAGAAATTACGAGGAAGCATACTGTATTAAAATGGATGTGAGAGGGATATAGGGCTCTCGAAGGAACAAACAGGCACGCTTAGGTTCACTCAAAAACACTTTAATACAAGTAATACAAGTTAACCTTGCATTAAAATCAATATCAATATATCAATTAAAAGCAATGCAAAATAACCTTGTACCACAATGGATATAGAATAGCATATATCATAAGAACTAATGTATATAGAAAAGAAACAATAAAATATAGAAAATGGAAATTATTATCACAAGCAGTGATAATTAATCCCCATAATCAATGAAATGCATAAGCAGCTGCAAAACTACAGTATTTACACTCGGACGTGCCATCATCACCCACCTTCACACACGGACTGGGGAGCCCGTTTCAGTCCTGGCAGGAGATCAACACGTGAGTCCCGAGAAAGTGGCAGGCGAAGCGCGCTCTATCCCATGGCTGAGCTCCGGTCACTACTGGGATCTCCCCCTTCCTTTATACTAAATTTAGAGTTGCGTGTGGGCAGGGGGTAAGCTGGCCAGGCTCACCCCTTCCCCCCAGGCAATATGTTATCAAATTCCCCCTTTTGTCCGAGTGATGCTGCTTGCGATAACATAGTAAGATCCTTGCGCCATGCCTCTCTACCCCCCCAGAAGGCAATATAAGGTGCTGTATACCGACCCCCCCCCCCCCCATCTCCCGAAACCAAAATAAGCATTCAGCATGCCAATCTAATGGCCCAGATTAGCATCCTGGCTTCTTTTTATGAGCCCAAGTTGTTTGTGGCGAAATAGGTTTTACAGGGGATCGGTAAAGAATAACATGTTCGTGCAGTTCAGTAACATTTGGGGTGAATCATGGATGATTGATCTGAATTTCAGGATGATCAGTCCACACACGATCAGAATTAATCCACAATTACAACTTCCCAGAATATTATAGTACATGGATTAATTTCATGCCATGTGGGCGACGTAATTGTCCACGAATTCATCCTAATACACATACACCCAGGCTTGGGATGCACTGAAGAAACGCTATGGCCACCCCTTTGTAATTCAAAGAGCTTTCCGGGGAAAATTAAATTCTTGGCCAAAGATTGGCCCTAAGGAATGTCTAAAACTAAGGGAGTTTAGTGATTTCCTTGTTGCCTGCAGGAATGCAATGTCTCATGTGCAAGGGTTACCTGTTTTAGATGATTGTGAGGAAAATCAAAAATTGTTACAGAAACTTCCTGACTGGGTTGTCACATGCTGGAATCGGTAATTACTAAAGAATTGGATGAAGGAAGGTTATACCCAGGTTTCAGGGAATTTTCATACTTTGTAACAAAGGAGGCACGCATTGCATGCAATCCAGTCACCTCCCTTCATGCATTAAAGCATATAGATGTACAACCAGTGAAGGAACAGAAGTGGAACAAAGCCAGTATCTTTGTGACATCAACAAAGCTCTCCCAGAAAACAAAATCGACATCAGAGAGTGACAAAGTGTCACGTTGGGGCTCAGGCAAGCCGGAAAGCAGGCGAGCTGAGCCAAACTTACGGGTAGAAGGGGGTTTATTGGCTGACGGACAGACAGGCACGGACATCTACGGACAATACAATGACAAGTCTGGGAACCTGAGGGAGACGCGAACTCATATACACAGGACAAGGCAAAAGAAACAGGAAACAGCTGGGCACAATCGGGGAAGCACACGTGGATAATGAGGGGGCGTGGCACACACTAGGATCGCACGGAGCAGGGCGTGACACAAAGCTTCCAAACCCAGCTCTTCTGATACTAATATGAGACAAATTAAATGCAACTGCTGTCAGCAAAATCACTTTATTTATAAATGTGAAAAATTTGCAGCAATGTCAATGGAGGAAAAGAAAAAATGTACAATTGATAACCACATGTGCTTCACTTGCCTCAGAGTCGGTCAGAAAGGTCCACTTGCAATATTTGCAGACGAAGTCTCCCCTCACCGCTGCATAGGGATGGGCATCATTAAGGTTTTAACGGTATTACTACTTCTATCGATACCACTTATCGATTCGGTACTTTAACGGTACTCTTATCGGTACTTTTTGTTGTGTTTTTTAATTAAAAAACCGAAACAAATTGAGAACAGAAATAACAACACTTTTTTTTTTTTTTTTAAATGTAAAATAATTATCTATAGCTTAGCAAACACCAATGTTTGAGCAAATACCTATTACACAAACAAAACCAATGATTGTAAAACAAATAAATAAACACAATTTTCTTGTAAATGAATATACAATGATTTAAAGGAACATAGTTGGGGCATGCAGGTAGGCTGCAAAAGAACTAGCAGCTTTTAACCATTCTTCTGGAGAAAAATCAACATATTGGCCTTTTCTGGCAGAAGTGGGAACCTCTCTTGGCTTATTGTGCTCCCTGCAGTTGAAAATACCCTCTCACTAGGGGTGGAGGGGGCTTGAGCACAGAGGTGACTTGTTGCAATGGTTGTGAGGAGGGGCAGTTCATCTCTCTTCTCCCACCACCACATCACTGGACCTTCAGCCATTGGAATGGGAGGCAAGCTTTTGTAGCGTTCAACCTCTAAGTCAACCTGATCACTGAGGGTGAGGGACAGATTTTCCTTTTGGATCCTCAACCTCAACTCCCTGTCCTCCTCTGAGAATAGGTCCTCTAAGGCACTCCTTTTTATGTACAATGGAACAATGGTCTCCTCCATTTTCTCATCTTCTCCTTCTGATTCCTCCTTTTCCTGGTGTTCTGTGTCTGTCATCTCATCTGAGAGCCCTGTTGTTGGTCTCACATTGGACTCAATGGCTTTCCTCCTCAGCCTGTCCCAAGTTTCATCACTTACTGACCTCCCTTTGAATCTGGGGTCCATTGCTGTGGCCTCATGCATGAAGGCTTGGATGTCATCATTCTGATAGCGCTGGGAGAGGTTCTCCCACACCTTCTCTTTGATCGATGCTACAAACATTGTATCTTCATCCTTCATAGTAAAATGCTCTTCTAGTTTTTGAAGGATGGGTATGATCTGTCCACAGGTGGCATTTTTCTCACATGACACACACAGTGTGGATGTATAGAGGACTCTCATGAGCTGGACAAACTCCTCAGCCTTATGGAAGTCCTCATCCTTCAGACAATCTAGGTTGTCCTTGGTGATTGCTTTTCGAAGGTGTGGGTCCAAGGCTGCTACTTGTATTGCTGGAAACTGCTCCATGAATCTCTCTATCATTAGATAGAGCGAGTTCCATCTGGTCTTGACATCAAGGATGAGGGAGTGTTGTGAAAGGCCTGATACAACAACAACAACAGACAACATACATTTAGTTACCAAACCTTTGATTATTGACTTAAATTGTTAAATGTGTAGGGAGGGAGGGGTATATTTGGGGTTAAGTGTCTTGCACATCTCCCTACAGTAAAAAAATTATAAACAAATAAATAATCATTATTTCATTAGTTTTTTCATCTTTATTGAACTATTGTGTTGCTGTTTATTTTGTGGAGTGATGGGACTAATATACAGCCCTTTTATAATTCTACTATATCCTACTATATTTAATGCAACTGTGTACAGTACATGTATATACTGACAGACTGTTACCTAAAAAAGTTGGACTCCACTGTCACAAAGGGATGTAGGCCTTTCACTATGAACTTGGTCAAGGCTAAGTGGCACTCATTCACTCTCTCCTCCGGCATCTTTCCACTAGCTGCCAGTGTGAAGGGGCTTTGGCCTTGTGTTTTGCTTGGACCAGATGCAGGAAGAGTGGGTTGGTTCACTGTAATTGCAGCTTTAACAAAACAAAAAGTAAAATGCAGCTAAACAATCATCTGTGGCTAATGTTTATGTTTTATCATGAACACATTCACATAAATTAGTTAACTGTTTGGGATTAAAAGTAATACAGGTTTGGAACCTATTGCAATGTATGCTAAATTGAATGTATTTAATCACTACAAATTAATTTTTAGGTAAGCTCTGCTTTATAATTTCTTAGTTTATTATTATTTATCTATTTGTAAAAGCAGTACTATAAGGGCATTTTAATGTTTAATATTTATTTAGGCTACTAAATAAAAATACTCTAAATATTTAGCCTATATGTAGGCTAAATGTAACTGAATGTGTGTTTATTAAGTTATTAACATTATAATACTGATTTAGAGAGACCTTATGTGATGTTTATGTCATTATTGTATTTATTTATTTATGGTTTATTTGACATGGACAGTGCACATTAATAAACATAAAATGTAAATGTGCCAGAATTAGCCAAAATGGCTATTTTACATCTGTTGTCCACGGACCGATGGTAACGGGTCAAACATAGTAGAGGTCGACCGATATGGGTTTTTCCATAGCCGATGCCGATGACGATATTTAGGA